GAAGTTTTGAGCTTTCCGGGGGGTCAGGGGCAATTAAAAAAAAAAAAAAAAAAAATGCAGTGAGTGCTGCTGCTGAGCGCCACCCAACGAAAAAGGCTCCTAAAAACACGGCGCGGTTCCTCATCCACCTGATTCACCAGATCCGGCACCATGTGACGTCTGGCTCTGCCCCAAAGTCACAATGACCATGAAAGGAAAATGCTTTGAACTGATGCAGGACACAGAGGCAGCCACCAGTGCACAACTAAAGATTCTCAGGAAAGAGGACTCTAGAAATGCTCCAGACAGGGGCCAGAAAGGCAGGCTGAGTGTGTCTGAAGCATGGGGCAGGAGCCTGAGAAGACTCGTGGCATCATTTTTAATTATAGAATGTTCTTTAAAAATTTAAACATACACCTGTATTTTTCCATTTTCTATTTTCTCTAAGGCTGCTGGTAGACTACTGAACTGGTATAAAGCAGACATTTGAAAAGAATAAGGGCTGGCTGGCTGTGGGCATGAGGATGTCTGGAAAAGGAACTTGAGAACCCAGGCGACAATCTTGGAACACAGCTGTGTGGGAAAAATGGAGACAAGCAGGGAGCCCCGTCACTTTCCCCGGGGAAGAGCTGAGGTGGCGCAAAGCTCCAGGTGGCAACGGAACACCGTGCAGGTGTGAGAAGAGAGGTACAGCCAGCAGACAGGGCCAGATAAGGTCAGGAGTCCCAGCAAAGTGAAAGACAAACTGTTAGGATGAGATGAGCTTCACAAACACCTAGAGCAGAGGAGAGCAGCGGAGAGCAGAGCGCCCACTGCCAGATTCAGGGCTTCATCAAAGTACGCTGAGAATGCAGCAGCAACACCCATGCCTGTGTTTCCAAGTCTGCACACTTCCTCCCCAGCATCGTGCGTGTGACCAGGTCCCATCCAAGGCCACAATCCCAGTGCCCAAGACGGCCAGGAACTAAGTTTGCTCTCCTCCTTCGGCACTCGTGAGCTGGAAAGACATTCAGCAACAGCAGTCCAAGAGACGCCATCACTCAGGGTCTCAGGATCGCAGCCTGAGAGGCACTCCTGTCACTGAGCACCTGCAACTGATTTCTGCTGCCTTCACTACTTTATAGATCATTAAACAGAAGCAAAGAGATCCAAGGACAAAATGTACCCAGCGCCTTGACTCGGACTGCTCAGAAAACACATAGGGCGCACACCGCTGACAGCCATTAGCCCTGGGTGACCGCGGTCCCAAAAGGCAGTGAGAGCAGCCGGCTGTGGCCAAACCATGTGACTAAGGCAGTCGCTCTCTGCTGTGCGACTCTGTGTGGCTCATTTCCTGGAGCTCAGGGATGCTGAGCTATAAGCTGTCATCGTGTTTTCCTCTCACACTGAAAAGAGAAGAACGGCTCCTATTAAGATTAGAAATGTTGAGTCGTGCACACATGAAAACAGAGAAGTGCTCCTTTTCTTATTTGGTAAATATTTTGCTTGTGATGCATCAGTAACTAATCACAGCTGTTTCCTTTGGTTACAAATGGATTCAATCAGGTAAAATTTCAGATGAGACACAAACCACCAGTTGTTCCACGCTACAGCACAATGGCGGCGTCAAGCTGGTGCTGCGCACGTATTAAGTATGCATGTATTCACCCAATCAGACGAAGCAGCTAATGGGCCTCCGATTAGGGCTCCAACTCTCCCTGGCAAAGCCTCCCCCTCACCCTGGCTCATCCGCAGCACGCCAGCCAAACGCTATGACGCCCAGCACACAGACTGCTACGCGCCGTCACTCTGGCCAAACCTGCACCCTGAATTGTGGCGAGATGGTCTCCCTCAGAATCAGAGACAAGAAAGAGACGCTGGGGAGATTTCATTCCATTTTAACCATTTTTTTCATGTCAAAACTAAAAGAAGCATCCAGCAAAATCCTAGTTTACCCACATAGGCTTCATAAAACAGCTTTCCAAAGGGACTGCTCTGCATATCCATAATCAATGATGGTTCCAATCTAGAATCTGATCTTCAGAAAAAATGAGCAAATAGTAAATGCATTTTATTGAACATTTTAAAAACACAAGAGTTTTGTAGCAACTTATAAATAAATTTCTATGGTAATAAACTGCTATTTTGAACCAGGAGAACAACAGAACCAAAAATTCATTTACAAACACAAAGCAGTAAGCTTTGTTTAGGGATAGTTCACTTTAATGCATAATTCTGCCTTTTAAAGAGATGATTGTTACAATCAGGTGTATGGCCACTTCGTAAGTTCTGCCTGTTCAAAGAGGTCCTTTCAGAGAACCACTTTAATCATCCTGATTCCTCTCCAGTGATTTTCTCCACAGAGCAGGAGAAGTAACCACAGTAGACAGAGAGCAGCACACTGGGGGATCCATGTGGAGCAGCGCAATATCTACAGCTCAGGCTCGACTCCGGGAACTCAGCTTGAACTTGTAAATAATGAGCTTGGCAAATAATGAGGTGGCCACGAATAAGAGCATCAATTGTTACTAAAAATTAACAACCTTAGGTGTCTTTGTTTTGGGTTTCTGCACTGCAGGTGCATCCAAAATTTCTTCATAGTCTGCACTCATTCCCTGTGCCCAGCGACCAACGGTGACCACCCTATCTGGAAAGGAACAGAGAAGCCAGGATGTAAGAAAATGGTAATCCCACACACCCGCTCAGACTGGTCTCGGTTCCACAAGGAGCTTGTTTTGATATGAATAATGACAAGGAGGGAGAAGAAAGTGAGCAGTTCTGTAATTGATTATAACCCTTGATTTCAGAGCACCACAAGCAATTTCTCAGTCCAATTAGGGAAGCGAGCTCCTGTTCAGCAACGCACAAACTGATGAGGAAGCATTTCCATTCTTTCCCAGAGTTCATCATTATGGAGTCAATGAATTCCCAGAGTTGTAAACAGCGAGACTTATGAAGCATTCATTTTAAATGCACAAGATTCCACCTGTGAAATTATACAACATCTGCTTGTCAGTCTTGCCGTCTGGGAAAGAGCAATCCTCCAGGAGGGAGAACTCAAATTCCACTTCATCATTTCAATCTTACTACTACTGCGTGGTAAAGACTATCTTCTCCCAGACAAGACAGTAAGCAAGAACTCTTGGTTCCCAGATTTACATTCTACTAGGGACAGGAAGCAAAGACACTGAGAGCTACAGTGTAGCGCTGTGACCACAGGAAATGAAAAGAAATGTGCTTTTCCCCTAAGAATCACTGACAGGCTACCCTGTGGTCTTGATTTTTTAAAAATACAAATTATCCAGGCAAACTAAGAGAATAATAATCTCTGCTTTTTCAAAAGTCTGCTACAGGCATAGTGAATATTTATGAAGAGTCTGATGAACAAGGCCAGTGTTTCATTAGGAAGAAAATAGCCAGATGCTGTGTCGATAACACGCTTTTAGTATTTTTGGCAGTTTTTGCTATCAACTCTGAATTAAGTACACACAAAGCAAATGTGGATACTCATCCTGTGAATACTGAGATTATTTTAGGGTTTGATTTTTCTCTTGGTGAACCAATACTTCCTATAAGCAACTGAACAGGCTGTACTACAATTAAATTCACTCAATAGCAAATATAGGCATAAAGTGCTTTATAGAGCAGGGTCCTCTAAGGCTCACTGGCCTCTTCTTTTCTGGGAGCAGGAGAGTAACAGTTAAAGGTGGCGTCAACTTGAGTAAGAAAGTGCTCCTAGGTGCGGCAGTTCCGGGCCTGGATGCCCAGTGTACTGAAGAGGACGCCCCATCCTGGTGCGAGTGGCACCAACCCTAAGGCCTGCGGCCTGGGTGGAGTAGAGAGAAAGGAGGAGGGCTCCCTTCTGGTGCTGGGGAGCTCCAGTCTTCACCATCGCCTTTGGACGTCCGCCTCCAGGCTTCCAGCGCGGCCTCCAGCTTCATGACGGATTCGCTGCGAGCTCCAGGCCTTCGAACTTTCTACTGGACCGCCTGGCCCTTCCGCACTCTTCCACCCGACTCTGCGGGCGGCCAGGCCACGATGACCCACTTGTAAATCCTTTGTATATCTGTACTGTACTAAATCTATTCCTCTCGAGAACCCACACTGACGCAAGGACCTAAGGTTCGTGACCCTGTACTGTCTACCGTAGACAGAGAAGAGCATAAGGCAGGAAACAGCCAGAAATGGCTGCAGGCACGAAACAGCTTGTCTAAGATCGGCGGCAGCCCTGCGAGTTACTGACAGCAAAACCCAGCGCACAAGCAGGGATTCCAACCTCACCCTTCTCAATGGGGCCCAGGGACTCACCTGAATGCTGACTTTCAGGGCAATCTTTCTTCAGATGTTCCACAGAGCCACACACTTTGCAACCGCCACCTGTGAAAAACACCGCCACTGAGTGCCATCTCATACTTACATGGGACTTTCATTATCTCACAGCACTTGCCTGTCACATGGCTGGAGTCAGGAACTGAAGCAGGGGATACCACCCTAACAGTTCACTCTTGGCCGGGCGTGGTGGTGCACGCCTGTAATCCCAGCACTCCGTAGGCTGAGGCAGGAGGATCGCTGTGAGTTCAAGACCAGCCTGGGCTACACAGTGAGTTCCAGGTAAGTCTCAACTACATAGTGAGACCCTGTCTCAAAACAACCAAAAAAGCAAAACAAAAAATTCACTCTCCACTCCTCTTAACCTCATGGAGCAACATGGCCTTCTCGGGAGAAGGGAGAAGGGAAGGGAGCCTCACGGTCGACCTCACCGTGTCGGACAGCCATGGCCTTGGTCCCTGGCACCTGGGGACCGCTGTCCTGTGCAGATGCTTTCGCCTGAGGGAGGGTGGCTGGGTTCTCCCTGCGTGGCTCAAAGGAAGGGAACGAGCCTCACCGCTCTATGCTACAGACCAGACACGGCAGGCGTTACAAAAGGAACAGAACCAAATTTGTTCCAGAGCCATCCCTCTACCAAGCACCCCAGCCCCCCAAAACACTTATGTCTACTTCAAACAACATTCCAGGGCTGGGAATTATAAAACCCATGGTTTGAAATGAGTCTTGTGCTTAGTGGTCAAACACCATTGCTGCACAGTCAGGCACTATCAAATCAAACTCACGGTGCTGAGTGACTTAGAAAAGCGACCCTCTTCAGTACTCCCCTCTCCTTTTTGTAAAAAATCTGGTCACTTTGGTTGACCATTCAGTCATTTTTTCTGATTAGTTTGTTTTCCAGGCCCAGGCCCAGGCCTCTTTACCCTTTCACAGGGCATTGTACACAGAAGAGGCTCTGAAAGACACAGGTGAACGCCACCGTTCATCCCGTGAGGCACACAGATTCTAAGATGTGTCACCGTTTCACCCACCTCTCAGAAAGACAAAAGGCTACCACTCGTGGGATCCACTGTCACGTTCCAATTTCAGACACAAAATGTGAAAATATCTGCGTCTCAGAATCAACGAAATGGCATTTCATCATCTTCGTCGGACAGGTGAGTAAACAGGGGGATTCAGCAAAGTCCCCAGACACTGTGTGTGGTGCAGGGGTATAATCTACATCCGAGGGCTCCAAAGCCACACTCTTTTGTTGGACTTCTCCATGGGAGAACTCGGACATGCAGTGACTAGAACCCAACAGCCCCAGCCATCACATGGACACATGGCCACCAACTCCGTGGGCATCACTGACTTTCTTGAGGGGCCCTTCATGGTTGCACAATCCCATGCCAGGAAATGAGGAAAGAAAAAATTCAGAAACAAAAACTATGGCAAAACTGAAGAGAGTGCTCCACCCATGATACCTCAGTGGTATGCAGGGCTGCAGCTATGTCTGACACTGCTTTTTAAAGTCTTGCTGGAGTTTACGATAACCCCTCTGCGCTGGCTGTTTTGAGAGTGCAAATATAAAATACACTTTCATAGACAATACAGAGGCAAGTGCTGCTGGAAACACACACTCTTGTTTTCCACTTTACTCGTGTATTGAGCCAGGTTGGGAAACAAACCCACTCTATACAGGAGCACGCGGTAACAACAGTGAAATCCTCAAGGCTGCGCTACATACCCAAGAGTTTGTTCAAGATTGATTAAGAAGGGACACGAGGCTGCCGGCCTGGAACACAGCACTGAAGGAGGCCCAAGCAGGAGGACCACAGGTTGGAGCCAAGGCTGGGCAATTTAGCAAGACAAAGAAAAAATCAAAAGGGCTAACGATGTAGCTCAATGCAAAGCATTTCCAGGTTCCACCCCAGTACCACAGGAAAAGTAAACTGAGCAGCAACTCCACATGACAGCTCGGTGTCTGAGAAACCAGGCAGCACTCACCATCAGCATAAAGTCCTCTGGGATTGTCAGGACAGGATCGGGACAGGTGCCCCATCTCCCCACAAACAAAGCATTTTGCAAAAGGGAATTCACCTGTAAGAATCAATAATTCCTATGAAGTTCATGATTTATAAGTCACATAATGCACTTGACTTTAAAATACTCTGAAGAGAAATGCATTACTTTTTACATACCTTGAAATTTGATTATGAGATTTCAAAATATTAAGTGGCACGCTCGTAACAAACTGTGCCCCCACCCAATAACCCACTGGCTAAAAACTGGCCACCTTCCCCATGAATCGAATAGGAAGCTGGAAGAACTTACCGAGAGCAGGATCCACTTTAGCCCTGCACTTGGTTATTTCGTGCTCCGTGGACCCACACCGGTAACATATCCCAGTACCCATGTCTTGGTTCTCAAGGGCAGCAGGGCAGTCGGCCACTCCATGGCCAGGTTTTCTACAATGAAAACACACCTGGGAAAACCAAATGTGAGTTTCCACACTGTAAATGCACTAGTGACCCATCAATCCCTACTACCAAGATATCTTTAAAGCACTGCTCATTTTGAAAGCATTTTAGCTCTTTAAAAAGGAAAACTCAGTATTTTATTAAGCAATCAGATTTCACTGCCATCTGAGGGTCTCGGGATGTTTCCGAGATTTTTCAATCACAAATCCATCAACCTCAGAAACAATGTTACATATGACTTTACAGGAGGCAACTGCTTAAAAGAAATGAACAAATATATACTCAGTTCACTGAGAGACATGTGCCCAAGAGAGGGCATCTGCTGGCAGAGGCAGACAATGGCTACAGAATTATGACCTAAGCTAGTATCTACACCTCTACAGGTCACAGAGTTGAATGGACTGGGATCCAATGGTTGCGCTTATAGCCAAAAGCGTAACCTTTTGGTTTTGCATGCTTACACACACTGACATGCAGAAAGACCAATGCCATCTTTAGACAGAGGCACAATAAATTCTACAGAAATTATTTATTCTAAGATGAATGTTTGGCTCCAACATAAAACTGAACGATGTACAGACAGTTACTGAGCACTCTGGAAGGTCCCTCTGAGGCTGCTGCAGTGAACGAGACCACCAGCTACCACCGAAGACAGCAGGCATTCAGATTGTGATTTAAAGTGGAAAACACTTCTGGGAAAATAATCATTTCACTATTTTCTTCAAATAGGCACTTTTTAAAAAAAGAAAAATTCAATAGGCAAAAATAAACCTCTGTTTTGCACCGATGCTGTTTTTCTTCCCCATTTACAAACACTGAAAAATAAGTATATTTAAATTCCACCATGACCCTTACACTGAGAACGAGCAGGGTGGTTACTCTCCATTAACTTCATGAATTTGAATAGTAATGGTTATTATGAGGTCATTTACAAAAGAGTGAGAAAACGGAGATGGTAGGGCAAACAGCCACGTTATTTAGTCTGCCTTTTATGAAGAACGGCACCCGCTCCCTTAATCACAAATGGAACACTTCCTTCAGAAGGACAGCAGAATGCTTTTCGAATGGTTTGTAATTCACCACCCTGCTGATGTCAATAACCTGAAAAACAAATTAACTTACTGGGCTTAAAAATATTTTGAAATAATTAATTTTACAATTTAAACAAAATTCTATCCTAAAGCAGATAGGAATGGTTACCCAGGAAGAGGACACCGTCAGTATTATCACCGAATAGCTGTGCTTAAGTGTGACCAGGCATGGAACCAACCCTGTCCGTGGGCAAAAGCCACATTTACAACAGTGTAACAATGAGCCTGCACTGGTACCAGCGCTGAGCTCTACATTTGGAAATCTGAATAAAAAAATGACAGCAACAAGCCCTGTTTCTTCTGCATTATCCCCTAGAAAATGAGAAACTCCCACAGAGAATGGAAACAACAGGACTAAATATTTCACTTCATGTGTCTGATAGTTTAAAATCTTAGACTAAGAACTACAGGAAAAACCCGCTGCCCCCAGGACTCCTCGCCATGTAATATGGGGAGAGAAAGGGCAACAACTAGGTAGACTGCCAGTTTCAACTCTATTCCTCTGCTCTGTGGCCAATGTGAATTGTGCCAGATCGCCCTTGTGCCTTGATTTTTCATGGAAAAAAAATCCGCCCTTTCCAAGTAACGGGAAGCTGCGGCACCTAATTATCCTCCAATGGCTATTTGAAAGGGGGCTATTAAAAGACAGGGTACGAACACAGTTTTTCTTTTTTTTGCAATGCTGGGGATTGAACCTAGGGCCTTGCACATAAGTGCTGCACCACTAAGCTATATCTCCAGCACAATACAGATTTTGAAGTTAGAACCTGGGTCTGAATGTCACCTCTGCTGCAAGTTAAATGGAGATGGGCAAGTTGCCTAACCTGTTTGTACCGTTTTCAGTGTGTTCTTCCCACAAGACGGGAACAATGGCACCACTGTGTAGTGTGCTGTGATCATGAACCGGCACATGAAGGGCCTATGTGCCGAAGCAGCACAAATCTTACAAAGACGCTTTGTATATCCAGGACACAGCAGTAAGGCTCTGCCGCCATGTGTGCAGGTCTGAGAACCCGAATGAGTTTCTAGCTACAGAGAGCCAACAACACGGCAGAAGCCGTGACCTCACCATTGCGTGCTTCTTGGCTGCCTGTCGTTTCAGTCGCCTTCCTTCCCGACGACTGTCTTTCTTGAAAGCAAGTGCGATTTCTTCCCTCACTTCCCGGCTGTCTGTGGCTATCACCTGCCCACTGGGAAGCGTCTGTGAGTTCTGTCTCAGGTATTCCATGAATCCATTTACATCTTCACTGAAGTACTCTTTTTTCTTTTTATTCTTTTTATGTCTTACTTGGGGCCTGTCATTTTTCAGGGACAGCCTCCTGGCTCCAGGTGGCTGAGGCTCTGGTGGGTGTGTGCTCCTCCCCTGCAGGGACCCCTCCTTCATGTCCTCCCAGGAGGTGGCAGGCAGGGGTTTCTTGCTCCGTGTGGTGGTTACTCGCGCCCACCGGGTCATGGCTTCTTCTTTGGGGGGAACTTGTCAGTCTGCATTTACAAAATAACAACGTGGCATTCACAGTACTCATTGTATCGAATAAACTCATGTTAGAACCTGTAATTATTAAAACACTTTTTACGTCATTGAGATATCTACAGAAATATTAATTCTATGATGTGCTGCACAGCTATGCCTCTAACTTAAACCAAGTGTTTATGGAGACGGAAAGGCTCGCACCCCGGGGTGCTCAACACCATTCCAGAAGTTAATTACAGTAAAAGACACACTGCCATGAATTCCCTCAAAACGCTCCTCCTAGCTGGGAACACATTCACACATTCATCCCATCATTCTTTGGCAATGTGCCTTTCTCTGCAATAAGACTTTTTCAAATGCAAACACTGACCATAGCTTTCGTTCATCCCTTATGGACACATTTTAAAGGAGTAACCTACTCCAAGACAAATTAATTTATAGATCTTTTACAAAAGGGAAGGTTACCAAGAGATGAAGAAGGGGAAAAGGAACGGAAAAGATAATAACGATGTGCTACGTCCAAGCACCAACTCCCCCGCACTCCTGTCCACCGTCACGCACCGCAAACATGTGCCCATAAAAGTTGCAGAAATCATTTGATCCCCACATAAACTAAACAGTGCTCTGCGTCCTCCACACACTGGTACTTCCTAGCATCCGGGGACTTTTTCCTGCACCTGGACGCCATGTAAACTCCCAGGAAAGCACCCCGCGCCTCTCCGGGACAGCGAGGACACCCGAGGGCCGGATTCTCTGCCGGGCCCACGGAAGGGAGGGCTATGGCGCGCTGAGGACCACGGGAGACCCACAGTCCAGCCCACGTTAGTCCATCCAGGGCCGAGGACCCCGCAACGCCGCGCAGAAAGAAGCTTCTTACCGCGCGTGATCCTCCAGAGCAGCTGAGTCGGCTGGCCAGAAGAACCCGGTGGGAGACCGGAAGTCCCGCCTCCCGCGTATCGCCACTTCCGGCGGAAAGTCGCGCTGGCTGGAGATGAGCCACGGACTTGCTTCAAATTCTCATTTTAGACATGTGCTCACGGGTGTGTGAAAGATTGCAGATCACACAGGATTTGAAAGGCGCTGGCCTCGGCGCCGAGGACACGGGGGCTGAAGAGCTCCTGCTCTGTACTGTAACTCTACAGCTTAGTGGGCGAGACAGACGCGGGGTGGGTGGGGTAGCAGGTGCCCAAGGGTCTTCGGCAAGGTGAATTTCGAACTGGACTTCGAAGAACAAATTATTGGTGGAAGGGAGTTGAGGACATGCTTAGCAGACCAAGCGGAGGTTATCAGCGCAGTGGGGTGGAATACTGATAAAAGTCTGAAAAAGACTGGAGGCTCTGATGGGAGCCCTCGTGGCCTTCTGCCAATGCCAGTATTCAACTAAAGTAGTGCACTTTGCGGCCAAAATTTTCGCTTTTGAAGAGGGAAAACTTTGTCTCTCAACAACTCACTGTTTTCTCCTGGGTCTCACCAGATCCTGTGTCAGTGAGAAAATAAAGTCATCACCTCCTCTCTGTTCCCCAGAACACTACTCCGTCCTTATGGTCACGCTCGACCATTTTACCTCCTAAATCTTCATCAGATTGCTTTCTCTACTGCCACCTGCCTGTCTCAGCGTTCATCAGGTCTCATTGCTGCACTGGTGTGACCATCCGTTCTTGCTCCACTTCCTCATTCATTTTCCAAGTGAACACTGGGGAATATAAATCAGACTACTAAATCAGATCGTTTAAACCCTTCTGTTGTTTCTCGTTCTCGGATGCAGTTCAGACCACTGGTGCTTGGCTAGCCTCACCTTGTACAATCTCACCCGCTTTTGAGCTTTGTGCATAGGGACCGTCTGTCCTTCAATCTTTCTAGCTATCTCCAGGCCTTTGCATATATTATTTTCTTTGGCACCCCTTTTATTCTCATTAAATTCTTGTGTTTCAAGGCTTTTCAGATTTAATTCTCGCTTCTAAAACCTCCCTATCAGTAGGGGCCTATTGTACACCTATGTCAATCTATCCTGATGGTACCTTTCAAATCTGCGTGTAATTGCATGATGAATTGTGTAAAAAAGTTTTTTTACTTTATTCCCATTACCTGGTGCACAGTTGTTGTTCGGTGTCATATTATATTTGTTAACTGGATGAAGAATGGTTACTTTATATATCATTTAAAGCAAACTCAAAAGTGTCCCAGTTTTAAGAGGAAAGATTAAAGTTATACAGGAATATTGGGATTTGGTGTGGCTAGTTTCACAAATATCCTAAAACAAAACAATCCTCCAGCTCTTGAAAATAATGAGCTTTATAAAATAATACGATAGTGTTTCTCAGAAGGATCTCAACCAGTTGCCTTCTGGTTTTAAACACTTAGCTAGGTTTTATTTTTTGTAGGTGTCAGGTACGTGTACATAACACACACCACTAGAGGGCATATGTAACTAAAATTTGTCCTGTAAGTATTATGCTAAACATTAGACTAGATTGTTCATTCGTGGAAGTGAAGGGACATGTCAGTCTGTTTCTGTGAAAGTGTATCAAATAAATGACAATAAGGAGATCATAGAATAAATCCTTGAGATTCAGGAGAAAATATTAACATTACTATTAATATGAGCTGATTTGTAGTGACTATTTTATAGATAACTAAAACTATGTTTAATGCTTTACATTCATTACCTAATTGCCCTGTGAGGTTGGTGCTATTATTTTTTTCATTTTTACAGTGAAGAAACCAGCTCAGGGAGCTTAGGTAACTTAGCCATGGTCACACAGATGTTAGAGAGCCAAGATTTAAACTGAGATTTCAGTCTGCTTTATCATACCGCAGAAGATTGTCTTCCTGAATCCATGTTACACTTTCCTCAGTTGTCCTTATCCATGCTTTTTTTGGGGGGGAGGGATTCACATCTAGTTTAAGAGATCTTTTACTTTCCCCTTATACTTACTGAAATACTTAAATGTATTATTTTCATAATAAGACATAAGCAAAGCAAATGTTAAATTAGGAGCTAGGGTGTTGATTATTACAGGCCAGTAGTTCATTTTTTTAAATCTTGGGGTAAGTAATTTAGCTCAGTCGTAGAGCTCTTGCCTAGCAAATATGAGGCCTTGGGTTCAGTCTTCAGCCACTGAAAAATTTAAAAAAAAATATATATCATGTATACAGATCTTCCTTATTTAACAACCAAGTCAGTTCTTGCAACTAGGTCATTAACTGAATTGGTTGCTAAATGTGGAATTGTATATACTATGTGCCTTACAATATTCAGAACAAAGGAAACTCCACCTTGATGACTTTGCTTTTTTGTGTGTGACTTTACATGCAGTACGTTAATGTATGACAGGAAAGTACAATACTGTACAGTACAATCAGTTCGCACCATGGTGAGGTGCGACTGGCCTTGTAGGTTGACCCCGAGAGCCACCTCCTTGGGCCGTTTTCGATGTTTGGTTGGAGGGAAGAAGAGCCTGGGCCCCATATGCAGACGCCTGTGGTGGCCTGGAAATCAGAAAGCCCCTTCCCTGCAGGAAAGACCCAGGGAGGTTCCCAGCCACAGGCTGACTCCAGCTGCTGTCACCCCACACCCACGGGCAGAGCAAACGTGAAATGCCCTGTGACCAGAGCCCCGTTCTGCTCACGTCATTGAGGCAGAATATCGAGTGCGCAAGAACTCTTTGTGTGCTATGATTACCTTGGCTGGAGGATCCAGCCTTCACTTGGACTTTTAATCATTAATTGAGTTCCTTTCTCTCTTTCAGTGGGCTCACCTTTTATAAAAACATCTTTCGCTTTCACCATATGGCCAGAGTGCTTATTTCTCATGGCAAAATTACAGCTTATTACACCATCTGCAAACAGGACCGCCTCACTCCTGCACTTGGCGGGGTTTGCGGGGAAGGGATAGTCTTGTACATTGCTGGTAATGCAGTCAGACAGCCCCACAGCTCAAGAGTTTCAGACATAAGTGACCAGAGAATTAATTGCTAATAGTCTATGAACAAATCAGTGCAGATGCCGGCATGCTTACTGATGGCTAAAGGTGAGAAATGATTAGGTAAAAAGCAGCAACAGAAAAGGAAAGTACTGTCTGGAATCCCGTTCTTTAGATATTCAGTTGATTTTTGTTGACACTGTTGCTTGAGATGTACAGACTACTAATCTCTCTTTTTAGATGAGTAGACATACGTTTTATGCCAGTGTTTATCTTTTAGCCTTTCTTCTGATGAAATGCTAGTGTGCATGCGTGTGTGTGCGTGTGTGTGTGTGTGTGTGTGTATGTGTATCTCTGGCTCATTTATGCTTGTGTGTCTTCAGCTGCACGAATTCGCCTTCGTTCATCACTCCCAGAAGAGACAGGACCAGTGCTGCTGACTTGCCTTAAAGATGCTGTGAAGAGACGCCGGAGCTGGATTATTAGAATAATGATGATTTCTTCATTTACTTATTTGGCAAAGACTTACACGGTACTAACTATGTTGAGCATTAAACATACTAATGAATTTTATCTTCTCAACAACCCTCCCAAACGACACAGGTATAATTTAGACCGAGGAAGCTGAGGAAAGGGGACACTGCCATTCACTGTCATTCGGTGGGAGGACTGGAATTTGTCCCCAGCAATGTGGCTTAGATTTAATGTGCTCACCCTGACACCAGTCTGTTCCTTCGTCCCTCTCCACCCCTGAAACACCAGCCACTGCCTGTGGTGTAGCCCCTCTTCTGTCTTAGGCACTGGTAGGAAACAGCTCTCAACCACACTTCATTCGGGGAACTTGGCGTGATGTCCTGAGCTGTGTTTCCTCTTCCCACGCCAGTTAGCTGCCCAGAAGTCACAGCAGTGCCTGTGATTTCCAGCACAACTGTATTCTTTTCATACTTTTCTCAGCAGCAGGAGGGAAGACAAGAGCTGCTTACAGCACTAGTTGAACACAAACCTGCAGTGCTCACTACTGCATGGGCAGAGCTTGCTCCCATCCTGTTAGTGCAGCTACCGTTTGTCCCTCGAACCTTGGCAGTCTCACGACGTCCCATGCAACTCCTCACCCCCACCTCTTTCATGACTGCAGACGTCACAGGTAGGTAGCAAAGAGTAACAGGGCTCCGGGTGAGAACTGAGGGGAGGATTCAGCTCTCAAGCTACATTCAAGACATTCTCCGTGTTTTGCACATCAAATTTTGAACTGCTTTTGAGGAAAGGAACACCCAAGTGGACTGAGGCCAAACCACCTGTGACAAAAGGTTTCTGTCCACAACCCCTAACGCAGCCCAGGATGCCAACCCCTGCCTCTACGGCCACGACCAGGTGGGGAGGCCTTGGTCAATGACTGTCGGGCCCCTCCTTTTATTTCTATTTTATTTTTGGCAGTACTGAGCTTCACAGTGAGCTACACACCCAGCCTTTTTTCAGGTTTTATATGTCTGGGAAAGGTTCTCGCTAAATTATTAAGTTGCCCAGGCTGGGCTCAGATTTGTGGTCCTCCTGCCTCAGCTCCCCAGGGTGCCATGTCACCACACCTGGTTCAGATTCCCTCATTTTCCCTACCCAGATAAAGCAGAAAACTCTTCTCAAACCCACCTCAAAAGGATATGTTGCTTCTCATCCCTCTGCCTTCAGCTCCGTGCCTACACAACTCAGCACAGACCTGACTCCTGCCTTTTCTCTTTTAGCTGTTGCGCTCGCTCCCCTGCCTTGGATGGCAGCCACGGCTGGCTGCGCAGCCCTGAGAGGACCAAAGGGCTGATTATTTGAGGCATAGTCAAAAGGTAATTGAGGTATGTGTGTATAAATGGTCTTAAACATAACAGTTTTACCGAGCTAAAATATTTGTGTATCTTGCTACTTGTAAATGTGTGTGTCAGCCCTTCTCAGTAGTAATTAAAAATTAGAGAAATAGGCCGAAAATATTAAGGAGAGTTTTATTGTAAAGATAGGCAGGAGATGCAGTTTTACATTTTTCCAAGTCTTCAGAAACTCTCAGAGTAGAGACTTCGTGGCGTCTGTTGTACCAGCAGGCAGACGGTTACAAGGGGACGGGGGCTCACTTCCGGCTGAACTGCGGCAGGGGCGGCGGCACCTTAATGTCTTGCCCTCTCTCCAGCTTCTTCTCGCAGTCCACCAGGTAGTTGACCCCGTCAATGACGATCTGCACCAGCTCCACCTGGCAGCAACAGGAACAAGGGTTAGCAGGCCCTGGAGGGAGCTGCAGGGCTTTGATGACCAGGGGACAGGGAGGACAGGCGGGACAGGGAGACTGGCCACCCGCTGGGTCTGTGACAGTGTCTTCCTTCTCACGCTTCCTGCATGGCTAGTGTGAGATGAGGTGGAGGGACCCCAGGGCACCTCTCAGGCGCTCTCGGTGAGGGTGAGTCACTGCTCTGTGAGGACTCGTTTGTGTGCCGACACCACTGGCCTCGTTCCGTGCACCTTGTCCTCCTCTGACTCAGTAGGAAAACACCAGTGTCTATCTCACAGCGGGATCACACAGTGACAACTTGATTTGGGGCTGATTCCCTGCCAAAGCCTCTGGGCACTGAACTGCATGGGCTCTGAGAGCACCCTTTACGCCCTGGATGTCTTTCTGAAAAAAGTCTTTAAAATCAAATGTTTGGCCACCAAATTGTGTTTTTAAGGTGGAAGAGGATATTAGAAAATGGAAAGATATCCCTAGTTCTTGGATAGGAAGAACCAATATAGTGAAAATGGCCATACTTCTGAAACTGTTATACAGATTCAATGCAATCCCAGCCAAAATCCCAATGGCAGATCTCACAGAATTAGAAAAAAAAATTCTAAAATTCATTTGGAACCAGAAGAAACCTAGAATAGCAAAGGTAATTCTGGGTAACAAAGCCAAGGCAGTGGGTATCACAATACCTGACCTGAAATTATACTACAAAACTACTGTGATAAAAACAGCATGGTAATGGCAAAAAAACAGACCTGAGGATCAGTGGAAAAGACTAGAGGATGCAAAAACAACTTCAGATACACTCAGCCAGCTCATCTTTGACAAAGGAGCTAAACACCTTCACTGGAAGAAAGACAGCCTCTTTAATAAATGGAGCTGGAAAAACCATTTTTTCACATGCTGAAGATTGAAACTAGACCCATATATTTAATCATGCAGTAACCTAAAATCTATAGGGATCAAAGATCTAAAAAATAAAACAGAAGCACTAACTCTGCTGAAAGAGAGAATGGGTAGAATGCTTGAGGACACAGGAGTAGGCAAAGACTTCATCAACAAAACCCAGACCACCCAGGAAATAGTACAAAGAATCAACAACTGGGAACTCATCTTATTAAAAAGTTTTTGCACAGCAAGAGAAACCACTAACAAAGAGACAACTCACAGAGTGGGAAAACATTTTTACCAGCTACTCAGATAAAGAACTATTACCTAGAATATATAAAGAACTCAAAAAATCAGACCCCCAAATTTAGAGGCCCATTGCAAAAATAGGGATCTGAAATAAAAAGACACTTCTCAGATAAATAATTTAAAATGGCAAAATAAATATATTAAAAAATGTTCAACATAAGTACTCATTTGAGAGATACAAATTAAAATAATGCTGACATTCCATGTCACTCCAGAAAGAATGGCTGCTATCAAGAAATCAACCAACAACAAATGCTGGCCAGGTTGTGGGGAAAAAGGAACCTTTCTTCACTGCTGGTGGGTGTGCAGACTGGTGCAACCACTGTGGAAATCAGTGTGGAGATTACTCAAAAAACTAAAACTAGAGGTTCCATTTGACTCAGCTATCCCTCTTCTTGTTATCTTCCCAAAAGAATTTAAAGCCTCATACCACAGCAATACATGTGCACCTGTGTTTACAGCAGCACAGTTTGTAATAACTGAATACTGGAAACAGCCAAATGCCCATCGACTGTGGAGAAAGAAGATGGGTGTTTTTATAGAATGGGGTAGTACTCCGCCATAAAGAAGGGTGAGCTTCAGACATTTATAGCGAAATGAATGGACCTCGAGACCATACTCTTAAGTGAAATAATGTGGACACACAAGTGTAAATACCACATTGTTTCTCTGGGGTGAGAAACTGAAAGTGGAAATAAGGACTGAGATGTATAACGGATGTTGGGAAATGGGAAGAAAGCATTCAAACAGGAAGGAAAACGGGAGGAGGGAGACAGACAGGAAGGAAGGGACAAGAAAACAGTGTAAATAGAAGGGAAAAATGGAAACAAAGGTTTTGTACATAGGGAGGGTGGAGGGCTTGGGATGAATGGGATAAAATAAAATAAAATTTATTAAAGCCCCCAAAAATTGTGTTTTCACTATGCCAGACAAATTTATTACTTATAGGAAACTTTGTGAATTCCTCCTTTAAAAGACATGTTAGAATTTGGTTTCCAAATACTGGCTTTAGTTCATTCCAGGCAGCAAAAGGTACGACGTGTGACTGAGGGCGAGCAGTAAGGGCGGAAGGGTCAGAAGTCAGAGTCAGGACAGACCTCGGTGACTTCCCCCGCTCTGCTCACACCTAAGGGCAAGGCCCACCCCAGAGAAGGGGCCCAAAAATCACTGCCAAGGACCTGTCCTGTGCTCACCCAGATGGGTTTTCCCAGTGGGGGCAGTGTGGAGGACCGGGCAGCCACAAGGTAGCGTCACTCAGCAGAGCACTAGATGCGGACATCTTCACTCTTCTGTCACCAAAAGTCCCGTCTTCTGGATAAGGGTTTCTTGGATTGTTAGTTGCTGAGTCGCATTGCACTGTGTTTCTGTGTTGCTGGGGATCACACCCAGGACTTCACACTGCCAGGCCAGCGCTCTACCACTGAGCTGCACCTCCAGCTCCAAAGCCATGACTTTGAAGAATACTTAATACTGCAGGAAAGTACTCATGTGTTGGGGAGAAGTACACGAAAACAATTATATGCTATAATAGTAATTTTTAGTTTTCTGAATTATTTTAAAAGAATAGAAAGCAATTTAGAATAATGTCCACAATGGTTACCACAATGGTTTACTCCAAAGAGTTGTTAGATTAAATAAGTGGCTTTAAACATGGATAGCAGCTGAATTCCATAAATTAACAGAGGAGGTCTATTACAAAGAGGTCTGTGTGCTCATTAACAGATGAACAGACAAAGGAAGTGTGGTCGATATGTACAGCGGGGCACTGCTCAGCCAGAAAGAAGGATGAATGTGGTCATTTGTAGGCAAGTGGAGGCTCCTTGAGGACATCATGCTAAGTGAAATGAAAGAGACCCAGAAGGGTAAATATTTCATGGCTCCTCTTATATGAGAAACCAAAAGAATAGGTAATTGAAAGCACAAAATAAGAGAGGGGTGAGAGGAAACAGGGAGCAGCCTCGAGGTGGGAAGAGGGACTCGGGAAAGAGGGAGTGGGGGAGGCGGGGGAAGGGGCAGGGAAAAGGGTCAGGACGTGGTGCTGAACACGGACCGATTCCCACCATGCACGTGAGCACGTGTCGCGTGTCCACACAACGGAAAGGGGCACCACACAGATTTAAATTAGAAGTAAATGAAAAGACAAGACTGCGTGCTGGCCTCTTTCTGCCTTTCGCGATGCTCACTAGGAGTTCACAGCGGAAGCAGGAGCCACAGTGACGGTGACGTGGCCGGCAGTGCCCACGGGGGCCCGCGTGCGGAGTCCTCAGCTGCTGTCACCCATCCGCTTCCAGTCAGCTGCAGGGCCCCTCGGGTGCTCCTCCCGCCATCCCCCCGCCACGCAAGGCCTGTGGGTTCCCAGGAAGCCTGCTCCTCCCCAGTATCTAACAGCTGCCTGCCTTATTTGCCATCTTAACCTTAACATCAAATTCTAGAGATCACCAAGGATATAAGGACGCCAGAGTGAAGATGACCGGGAAGAACTCAGAATCCAGGGACAACTGCAGTCCCCCGCCCTCAGAAGGACAGCGCACGTTCTCCGACTCCACAGTGACCAAACACTGCTGTTCTGCGCCACCACAGAGCTCCTAGTGCTGAAGGCTGCGGAGCTGCTCTCGGGGCGGGCGCGGCCACCGTCCCCGTCCTCTTCCTGCCTGGAGTCCCCAGTTACACCACTCTGTGCCCTTAATTCCCCAGGAGAGAACATCACAGAAGGGACGGCCCACAGGGCTCCGCCCCTTCCCTGCATCCTCTCTCTCTGGCTGAGGCCATCTGCGCCCATCAGGAAAGTGCCAGAGATGCTACCTCTGATCTGCCGATGCGATCGATGTTGGAAATGTCATACACATCTGCCACTGCCGCGGTATCCACGCCACCCGTGCCACGCTTCTGAAGCCTCAGGTTCTCCAGGATCTTAGAAAAGCGTGGGTCCTACGACAAGGGATAAGACTCAGTGTCGTGAGAAGCAAATGCAGTCGCCAGCACCGGCACATTCACCGAGACAGGATGTGTAATGAAAAATAGTAAGCGTGACTACTTATAAAGCATTCGTTCACTGCACAGCAAGGCGCTGTGCTGGAACTTAGAGCAGCCTAACGCAGTAGGTACAGCCCGCAGTCCTGCCCTAGTCGGCTTTCTGTTGATGTGCAGAGCAGTGGAGACTGAGTAACTCATGAAGAAGGGAAGCTTATCTGGTCCACACCTGGGAAGCCGGGAGCACGGTTCCGGTCTCTGGTGAGAAAGCTGGTAGGGAACACTCAGGCACCCAGAGATACGTGCCACCCCGGGTCTCTCTGCTTCAGAGCCACTGACGACACTGTGGGCCCAGAGCCGTCTGACCTTACTAACTGCCCCCCAGAGCTGCCCCTCCAGGACGTCAAAACAGGACCTGAGGGGTTAAATTTCCATTATGTGCATCTCAGGTATGGAAAACGACCGCAGCTTCCACTGCACAGCTACAGACGTGAGGAGATTCAGAGGACCTTAACCTGCCCAGTCACACAGCTAGGATGTGGCAGCGCTGGGACTAAACCCGAGTACTCCTGGCTCCAACTTTATGCTCTTAACCTCCACATATTTTTGCACAGGGATCGCCAACTTCAGTATGTTTGGTATCACTCACGTGTATAACAGTTGTCACTGTTATAACAGAAACCAAGAAGTCCAATCACTTCACTTTCTTAGCACTGGAATAACAAAACTTCTCATACTATTTTTGGAGGCAGACAACACATTTTCTAAAATTGTTGTTAAAGTATCTGATTTTCCAGGTGTGGTGGCGCATACTGGGGAGGCTGAGGTAGGAAGATCGCCAAAAGTTTGGACTACACAGCAAGTTCAAGGACCGCCTGAGCTACATACCGAGACTCTGTCTCAGAAAAAAAAATTTTTTTTAAAAATTTACTTGGTATACAGTGGCTAAAACTGCTAGTTACCCACCAGAATCCTCTACCTCTTCCAGCGTTGGAGCTGAGGAAGCCACCTCTGGCTGAGTCTGCTCTGGCGTGAGCAGGGGCTAAGTTATGGCTGGTAGCTGGATGTTCCCCCCAGAGCCTTACATGCTCACTGCAGGGCTCTTGGGAGCTGAGTAGATTATGGGGCTTAGAGCTGCCCTGCTGTTAGGAGCTGGGGTCTGCAGGACAGAAGTGGATGAATGGGCTGAACCTCTCCCTTCCAGCTCCTCCCTGCTCTCTGCTTCCTGTCCTCCATGCACTGAGCAGCTCTCATCCACCCGGCCCTCTGCCTTGCCGCCCTGCCCTGAGCCAGGAGACTATGATTCCAAACAAGCCTCTGCCCCTTTAAGTTTTGGGTGCCGGGTCTTGTGCCTTAGCAGCAAGAAACGTGATGCAGACAGGACGGTGACTTCCGGCGGACACTTCCGTCTTGGCGTGGCCACCTCTGCTGCATGCCGTCCCCTCCCACTCACTAGGATGGGGGCCGGCTGTGACCAAGAAAAGGGGGACTGTGCCAAGGCAGTGGCTCTCCAAGCATCTCACCTCGAGTCCTAACCTCAGCGTCACCCAGAAACTTGCAAGAAATGGCAAATTCTTCAGTGGGGCCAGATCTGCACCTGACCACTCCCCCAGGCCACTCCCAGTCACACCTGAGTCTGGGAACAACGTCTGGGTTACAGGAGACAGAGGAGGCAGAAGGCACCTGGGCGAGCTGAGCGGCCTGGAACCCTGATCTGTCACCTGACAGAGCGGTCATCACTCTTCTCGGGCAGCTGCTGGCCTCTCACCCCAGATGTCACCTGAGAGCGGTCATCACTCTTCTCGCGCACAGCCTGGCCTCTCACCCCAGCAGCGCAGACAGCTTTCCTCCGACAGTGGAGTTAAGGACCCCAGGGTGGCCCCGTCTGGGCCTTCCCAGTGGCGGACGCGAGCCTGCCGGTCACCGCACGTTACCTTGCTGAGCTTCGGGATCCGCACATGGACGCCAGCCCGCAGCCCGGTCCCCAGGTTGGAAGGGCAGGTCAGGATGTACCCCAGACGCTCATTCCACATGAACTCCCAGCCCCGCTCCTGGATTAACTGCTCCACCTGCAAGTGGGGCAGTGCAGGACGCGTGGCAGGGTCCCCAGGTGCCCGTCCACACGGCCCACCCAGGCCCAGGCTGGGACGTGGGTGCCGCGAATGAAAGGGAGGCGTGTTCGACATAAAACAAGGACATCAGCACCGCCTGCGGCCTGGGGACAGCAGAGAGCAAGCGCTCAGGGGCACTGAGGTCCCCGCACCACGGTGCCATGGGGCAGAAGACGGGAGCCTCCTGGGGAGGAGTCGCCCACGGTGAGCCCACTCCCCAAGTGTCCTGATCCCTGGAAGGGTGAGCCCTGTCTTGCGAGCCGCCATCGTGGCTTTGTAAACAATGACAAGCAGAGGCGTCTTACTGATGAGAACACCGAGACCGCGGACGGGACCTTACTTCCTTCAGTCCGCGACAGAAGCGCTCGAACACGCGCTTCATGTTGCCGCCCTTTTCCATGGAGATGACCCTGGTGTGGTCCTCCTCGTTGATCCAGATGAGGAAGGTCTTGTCGTAGTTATGCCTGGTGAGGGAGGAGTGCACTGAGCACCGGCTGCGTCGTCCACTAAGGGGAATCCCATCTCTGCTGTGGCTGGACGGCCACCCCCCAAGCCCCTAACTGCGCCTGCACATGCCCCACAAAATAAGGTCACCACGACAGAATGCAGGGCAGGACGGACCCCGAACTTCATAGTTTTACTGGAGAAGAAGAAAACACCCCTGGTTCCTGGGACACCAGGACCACAGTCAGCTCTAACAATGCTGCCTTTGACACAGGCGGGAGTATTTTGTCTCCCCAAAGTTCAACCTAAATCTCAGGGTACATTGAAAAACAAAAGGGCTGCAGCCCAAGGTGTCTGGGTACAAGAGTTCCTGTCCGCCCACAGCGGGGGCAGTCAGGATAATCTACTAAAGGCACAGACTCAACACAGACTGGTGACCCTGATGAAACACGAGCTCATGGTTGGCCATTCCCTTCACCTGCTCTTAAACCATCAGTATTTCCTTTTCCTTTTCTGTCTTTTGTCTTAATGTCAGGAGGCAAGTTCCCTTCCCCCAGCCCATGCATGACCCATGCAAGCCGGCTCAGAAATGTCCCGGAACTCGGTATATTTGGGTTTTTTGGTACCAGGATGGAACTCGGGACCTTGCGCTTGCAAGGCAGGCGGCGGCACCAGTGGGCCACCTCCCCGGCCCATTTACACAAGGCGAATCTTAAGGAGTCGGTCTCCTCTGTGAGCTCAAGCTGGACATGCTGTCAGCTGCGGCTGCAGCAGCCTAGGTTAGGACAGCAGCGTCTGAGGATCCTCTGCCCACCCAGCAAGCAGGAGCTGCTGCGTCCGTACCAGATTCCCCGGGCATCTGGCCAGTCGCGGGCCATCCCAGCGCAGGTCAGTAAAGGGGACACGGGCTTATCAAACAGGAAGTGGTCCTGCGGGCCGAGGGTGAGAGAAGAGACGGGGAACTCGGGGAGGCTGCAAATGCCAGTGACCCAGCTCTGACTGGCACGGCTGAGTGCCCACTGAATACCCCAGGAGCTTAAGTCAAAGTGACCATGAAAGGACGCCCAGGTTCCTGGCCCAGCAATTCTGCCCGTTGGGTGGGCTCTCGGCCTGGGAAGAGCAGTTCAGGGGGCAGGTGGCAAGTGACGGATGAAAGCCATGGCTGTGTCCTCACTGAGGTTATACCCAGCACCAGGGCCACCTCATGCCACACACAGCAAGGCGGGACACAAAACCGGTGTGGGCACAGGCATAGTCTGGGATGTACAGCTTCTGAAATGGAAATTTTGCTTGTTTTCTTGTGGTACTGGGGATTGAACCAAGGGCCTTCACACTGAGCTACATTTCCAGTCCTTTTTAAAAATTTTGAGACAGGGTCTCACTAAGTTGCCTAAGCGGGGCTCAAATCTGAAACCCGCCTGTCTCAGCGTCCCATCCAGCCAGAATCTGGACTTGCACCACCCGCCAGGCTGAAATGGCAAACTGTCTCCTGAGAGTGCAGTCAGCACTTTCTGTGGAAAGCGCCACCCTGGTTCCCCTGTGCCCGGGGGACCTGAGCTCTGCCCACCCTTGCTACGATGGGCGGGGTGTGGGATGCACACCCAGCACAGGGGCCTTGCATGCTCACCAAAGCCCCGGCCGCCCGCCCCCGCCCCCGCGCTCACGTCGATGAGTCGCTGCTGGTCCTGCTCCGTCATCTCCGACAGCTTGTAGTAGCGGCCGGCCAGGTCGCCCTTCAGGCCCTCGAGAGCCGCGATGGCCACATTCTCCACCTCCCTGCGCTCCGCCCGAGAGCAGGCAGGCGGCAGGCTGAGCCCGCGGATGCTGCGCCCGGTGCGCACCCGTGACGACAGCACGTAGCGCTCATCGAATTGCCCCTGGGTGATCTGTGGGTGGGCGGGTGGTCACGTGGAGCAGGCAGGAGCATCAAGCCCAGGCTCGGCCCAGGACCCCCTGGGGTAGGGCCTGAGACAAGGCCAGGCTGCTTTATACCCCATTTCGGGTTGGGATGAAAGAGAAGCTTTCATTTTGGGACAGGATTAGAGTCCCCCCGCCAACACCCCCAGTACTGGGGTCAGAACCCTGGGCCTTGCACGGAGCTACACCCCCAGCCCTTTCTATTTTTCATTTGGAGACTGGGTCCCCATGAGCTGCTAAGTTACCCAGGCTGGGCTCCGATTTGCAATCCTGCCTCAGCCTCCCTAGAAGTATTTTTTTTAAACTATTTTAAAACATAGTGCATGTTTGCAGTTCATGATTACATTTCTGGTGGGAGCTGGTGTACAGACACAGCACATCTCCATTTCTTTTTCACCCTCCCCTCCCCTTCCTCCTCCCTCCATCTCTTGGTCCCTTTCCTTCTGCAAAGATCTCCCTCCTGCCTATTATCTGTCTTTTATTTGCTCTTTATTTATATCCCGGGTTTCTCCTGTAAGTGAAGCCTTGCAATGTCTAAGCTTGTGCATCTGATTTATTTCCCCGCACATTATGGTCTCCAAGTGCACCTGCTTTCCTACAGATGACTCACGCTATCCTTCTTCGTGGCAGAGTAGCGCTCCAGGGCCTTCGTAACCTGCTCTGCTCCCCGAAGGGGCGCTGCCCAGGGAAGAGCCAGCCTGTGGAAGGAGGAGCTGGGCCTACCTTGGAGGCGTCCAGATCTGTGGGGTGCTTCATCACGCGTGGGTCATAGCCATTGTGCCGCAGTTTGATGACAGGGTCAAAAAGGTCAGCAAATACCTGCAGGAGAGGAGACCCCAGGGCTTCAGGGTGACAGGTGCACTCACTCGTGAGCTGCTTCGCCTGCTGCCGCATTCCGAGGCGGGAGCTGCGGTGCCCGGAAGTTCCCCAGCTCCGCAGAACGGGTGTGAGGTGGCACTACAGAGAGGTGCTGGGCTGGGCCCTGTGTGGTCCGGGGCTTGCTGCCAGCCCACAGCCCCGGTCTGTGCACGTGTGGTGTCGGGGCCTCTGCTCCTGGGGAGACGCCGGCCTGGCTGACAACTCCGGGCAAGACAGGAGGGGCAGCGCTGAGGGCGGGGTGAGCCGAAAGCCCTGCTGCCCCCGCAGAGGGACCCAGCCGGCCTCGGGCGGGCAAGGTAGGGGCAGAGGCCCTGTGCAGCGCTGTATCCCCTCCTCCTGACTGCTACCTCCAGGGAGCGGCGGCCCAGGGAAGCGAGGCGGGCACTGTACGGGGGGTCAGCCTCTCCAGGAGGGGCCCCGGTGGTCATGCTAAGCTCCGGCCTGAGCTTCTACCCCAAGGGTGGCAAGTGAGAGCGGGGTTCGTCTAGGACACTCCCCAGCTCAGGAGTTGGGCAGCTGGAAAGAGGCTCGGGGCCCAACCCCATCCCACAGCCCCGCACTGCTGTCTCCATGGTGACGCCCATGGCAGCGGGGACCGGGCTGCTTCCTACCACCCCTTCCCAGGAGCCCGGCTGCTCCCAAGGGGGCCTTGGCCCTGGAAGCTGCAGCCCCCCGTGTCCCCAGAAGCGTTCCCGATGGTGCCGCGGGGCTGGGGCCCCTTCCGCAGGAGCCACAGTGCTGTTCCCCATGGGAGAGAAGGGCGCTGGGACCGGCACTGCCCCACTCTGGAAGCAGCAGCCGAGGCTCACCTCGTAGGACTCCTCGTCCCCGGCCACCATGCCCACCGTCTTGATGAAGGGGTGGCCCGGGTTGTCCACGCCAGTCTGGATGCACTGGTCCAGGGTGTAGCCGCTGGGAGTCATCTTGTTGCGGAGCTTGGCGTAGATGGCTGGGGTGAGGCACTCGGCCATGCAGTTGTTGTGCTTGCGGAGGTCAGGGTAGTCGGCGCTGGGAACAGACAGTGGGGGCATCAGGAACAGCCGCAAGGGGGCTGGCAAGGGCTGGGGCACAGGGACAACTGGCTGCAGCTGCCGGGATTGTGTTAAGTGAAGCTTCGAAGACATGGGGTCCTGGGAGCTGGCACAGGAGAGGACGGGCCCTGCCATGTGGCACCCTGCAGCACACCGTGAATGTTTAGACTTTAAATAAGTGTAGTATAGTAAAAGACACATTGCCATGAGTCCCCTTCGGAATCCTTCACCTGGCCTGGAGCACACTCATCCCATCGTCCTTGCCTCTTTCTGAAGCAGCTCTGGAGTGCTCTTTCCTAAGGGTCTTTATGGGGTGCAATAAGAAAAATACAGTGAGTCCCACAGCTCAGTGCCACCCAAGGAAAGGCAGCTCATGAAAACACAACACTGTGTTCTCATCTGCCTTATCTGGCACTGTGCCACTTCTGGCTTCTCTCCAGAGTCAAAGTGACCATGAAAGGAACGTGTTTTGAATCAGTTCAGCACATTAAGGCAGCCAGGACAGCACAACTGAAGACACTCAGGAAAGAGGACTCCAGAGCTGCTGCAGAAGTGGCAGGGACGGTGGGATGAGGTGCTGAGGGGAAGGGGACTTGTTTGTCTTTGAACAGGAGCATATTGAAGGGACTCATAGCAATGCGTGTTTGGCTGTGATAACCTTTCTATTTAAACACACACTGTACTTTGTGCGTGCCTGGCCTTTTCGCAGGTGTACCGGCCCTCACCCCCACACTCGGTATCGCCTCAGAGCTGGGGCTTACCTTGGGGGAAACAGCTTGTGCTGGCCACTGGCCTCCGCACGCACCTTCGGCCGGTTCAGCAGGTAACCGGTGGTCAGGGCGCTGGTGCCCACAGTGGCAAGCAGCAGGGAGGCGTTGCGGCCCGTGAGCAGCTTGGAGAAGGTGCTGGCCATGCTTCTTCTCAGGCGAGGCTGGGAGGGAGGAAGGAAGGAGGGGGGCGGGGAGGGAGGGAGGAAGCTGTGTCAGCCGTGTCTCAGGAGGTTACAGGAGCACAGCAGGCCCACGGCCCCTCCTGAGATTGCTGTTTTCCTCTTTATTCCCATTCTTTTTTCTTCACACTGCTTGGGAAAATACAACTAAGCCTTTTATCGGCGTCCGCGACATTTTCTCTAGTAAACGGCCCCTCCAGATTGCTGTTTTCCTCTTTATTCCCATTCTTTTTTCTTCACACTGCTTGGGAAAATACAACTAAGCCTTTTATCGGCGTCCGCGACATTTTCTCTAGTAACATGATGTAGAAAAGAAACAAAGCAGGTGGCACCCTGAGCTCATAACGTCAGTGACACGCATCAGACAGTTTCTCTTACAGGGGAAACCCAAGTGTAAGTAAACTAAAGAGCAAAATAAAAGGTGGATGATAGGAAACAGGGAGATGGGCCTTTTGCAGATGGGAAGGGGGCCGAGGGATAGAGAGAAGGAAGAGAGGAACAGGACGTAAACAAAAACACGTGTTCGTGCGTGTGCCATCTTCCCACAAGGAACGTGACCATGATGCATCACAAACCTGGACTCGCAAAAGTAAATCTAGAAAAAAGGAAGAAACATCCCTGTCTCCTTTTGGGGGTTCTAATGTATGTAGGGGAGGTCATCAAGAAACAGGCCAGCAAGCAAACGAGGGGCCTGCGGTCAGGATGAGCCCTGAGGAGGAAAGAGGCAGCGGCTTTTGGAGACATGTGAGTGAGGCCGACGCTGGAAAGGAGCCAACAGAGGGTCGGGAGGCCAAGACTGGGCAGGACTACCCCAAAGCACAGAGGGGACGGGAGGCCAAGACTGGGCAGACCTACCCCAAAGCACCAAGGGCAAAGCAGAACAGGCAAGTGGAAGTCAGCAGTGCGGGCCAGGGACTCAGGGCCAGCGACGCCTGGGTCCCCGCAGCGCAAGGAAGACACGGGGACACTGCAGAGCAGGGATGGCCCCACCCCGTCCCTGCACAGAGCTGCTCTGGAACAGCTCCAAGTCCCCGTGGTGGCCAGGTGACAGCCCGGGGTTCTGACTAGGTGAGCCAGCTTGAGGAGGGGAGGAGGGTGGAGGCCAGGAAGAAGGCGGGGTGCCGGGACCCTGAGTGACAGCCCAGGTCTTCTCTGCCACTGCTCAGACTCCGCACCCCTCACCTGCTTGCAGGCCGCCTCCAGGGCTCATTCAAACCCTTCCTAGGCCTGGAGCCAGGGCCTGGCCATGGGGGCCCCCTGTTCCCACCCAGCACCACCCCGGCGGCCCCTGAGGACTCCCCGGATCCTTTCCAGCTCCCAGAGAACCTCCAGTGGAGCTTTCTCTCCGGTCTTCAGCATAAGTCTCTGCCCAGCAGGTGAGCACACACATGCCTGTTATAGCAGCACAACACACGAGAGCCAGAAGTGGACTATAAGACCCATCAACATCAGTGGATGAGTGGACCGAGAAAATGTGGTGTTCACGCACCGTGCAGCACTACTCTGTCACGAAGAAAGATAAACTTGAGTCATTTGTAGGAAAATGGAGCACCTCGAGACCATGATACTAGGTGACATAAATCAGACATGCAAGCTTAAATATTGCATGGTGCCTCTTCTAGGAGAAACTCAAAGCATAAATAAAGAGCAAGATCAAATATAGATGAGGGGACACAGTTTGGGAAGATAGGACGTGGACCTGGAGAAGAGGAGAGAGGGCTGGGCGGTAGGGGAAGTGAACTGATCAAGTGGGACGTGGACAGGTGTAAATCCCCCAAGATGAGTGATGAGGGCTGGCAAACACAGACCGTGATGACCAAGGAGCGCTTCCACAGGAGGAAGAGAGGAGGGGGCAGGCACTCTACATGCCACTGTCCGCGTCCTGTCAGTGAGGACACGCACTCCAGCAAGCCACAGCCCCGCTCCCACTTCTGGACAAGAGGCTCTGACCCGCCGGGCTGTGAGGTCTGAGGCGGCCAGTGAGAAGACCCTGGCATGGATCCCTCCGGTCTGCACCGTTCACTCATCTTCCAGAGGCCAAGTGGGCAGCTGTCCTGCACCCACCCTCCCGCCGTGCTGCTCCTACCCTGAAGCCGGCTGATCCTGGACAGAAACCGTGAGCCAGAACAAACGCTCCTCCTGGAAGCGGTGGATGCCAGTAGGTATTGTGTCCCCACCGCAGAAAGATAACGAACAGCAGTTCTCATAGGGACTCGAGTTGGGCAAGACTTCGGAGGTCACAGCGCAGCTGAAGTGTGGGACCGCGGTCCTTCAGCCGCCTCAACCCCAGCAGCTTCCTGGAGCAGCTCGCTTCGCTGCTGGATAACAGCCGTCATTAAGACTTTTTCGGGTCTCAGTGAGGACAAAAAGCTACATCATTACTTCCCAGGGCCAGGCCCTTTCCACAGCAGCCCCGAGCAGCAGCCCTCTCGCCCCATGTTGGGGATGAAGGATCCAGAACAACAGTGTTGTTAGTGGACTCAGGCTTGCAGTTCATCCCACGGAAAAAGCAGCATTCCTGAGATGAGGGCAGGGGCTTTACTCACGGCCAGAGCATGGAGAAGCGTGACAAGCAAAGACACTTGTGAACTCTAGGAGGTGAGGCCGTTTCAGACACGGGTGGGAACAGTGGTGACACGGGTGGGCTGGTGAGGGTGAGGAACATTCCGGTCTTCTCTGGGACCTCACAGGGCTCTTTCAGGAACTGGTGTCGACCCTTTGGCTCCCCTCACAGCCTTTCCAGTCACCGGGGCCTTGAAGGCAGAGGGGAGAGGCCCGGTGATCTGGGTCGGGTTAACTCTGTGTCGCAGCTCGGAGAAGACAGTTCTTACATGGTCAGCGCGTCTCGTTGCAGAGGCCAGCAGAATCTGACCCGAAGGTTAGGGCAGCAGCGGGGACAGACACAGCGTGAAGAGAGAGGCCGGGCCTGTGTCTAGTTCTGTCCCCTGCCCCACAGCCACAGGCCACGTGGAGTGGGCACTTTCATCTGCAGCAGCTGCAGTGGCCTTCACAGCCCTCAGGTAACCCAGGAAGCCGTTACCACGGTAACCCTCAGAGGCTTTATCTGTAGCCACACCAGGGGGAAACTACAGATGAATCACCAACTGGGTAACTCCCAAATTAGTGATTTTTAAGTCAACGAGGAGGAAGTGACACTAGAGGGCTTAAGGTTCTCCTCGGCAACACTTTTCCCCTTGTTTTTATTTCTCAGTCCTGAGGGATTTGAGGTGTTTTGGAGGTCATTTGGGCGTCTGGCTCAAGACCCACCATAAGGGTTCCTAGTGCATAGTGGCCCGTAGTTAGGGACAAGCAGAGTAGGGGTTGGACAGTAAGCCAGCAAAGTTAGTCCAGCTTTATAACAGTCACACTGGGCAGTTTCTCTCCACTCTACTTTCCTTTCAAAACAGAGACATTAATAGCCAAAAGTCACACAGCTAAAGGGAAACCACATGAATCAACATTCTGAACCAGACACTAATTTAAATGAAGGTCCTATTTTCACTCAGTGGTTTTACAATTACACATATATATAATATATATATGAATGATCAAACCTAGGGTCTTTGCCCAGAGCTATATCCCCACCTCTTTTCATTTTTAGTTTTGAAACAGGGTTTCACTAATTCACAAAGTTGTCCAGGCTGGGATCAAACTTGTGATCCTCCTGCCTCAGGCTCCCTGAGTGTTAGGACTGCAGGCGTGGCATCTCACCCATTTCACAGGAGCAGCACTGAAGTGGTAGATGGAGCCAGCACCCTCAACTCCCAAGGAATGGAGCCACCAGCATCCTAGCTGCTGTAGGCCTCGCTGGCCTCTCAGGGACACCGAGTGTCCTGACAGAGGGTGACGGAGGCTATGACGTCGGTCCTCACCATCACCCGGGCCTGGTCCTAAGGACACGGAGCCAGAAGATGGCACCCGGGGACCCCAGGGGGACGGCGCTGACCACAGCCTTCAGAAGGTCAGCAGCTGGTGTGAGTCTGGGTGACCCCACCGTGCTCCATGGGGGAGAAGTCGTGGTGGGCAGCGATGGTGGGAAGGACAGGGCAGGGCTGAGACAAGACCCGGGGAGGCAGCTCCTCCAGCCCACTCAGCTGAAAATGGAAGCAGGACTGGTGGCTTTGGCAGTGTCTCTGAGGAGGGAACTTGCACAGCGCTAGCCCGAGTGCCAATCCCAGGCTGTCACCCAGTAGCCCTCAGCAGATCAGGGGACAGGTGCACTCGCCAGGTGGGGAAGGTGGCACCACCCGCCTGTGAGTGGGATTCCCAGGCAGCAGTCCATGTTCACGGGCCAGGGTTTTCACTGGTGTCATCTCCTGGGACGGAGAAGTTGTGTGACAAGTGTCCTACAGGAGACTGGTGCCCCGGGCAGCTCCTGGGTGGACACAGCCGGCCACCATTCTGATGGTCATCCCTGTTGCTGGGGACTCGCTTGGCTCTGCACCTCACTGACTCATGGCTCGTCTCCCGCCTCAGCAGGACAGGAGGCCCGCTGCAGAAAGTGAGGCCGGAAATGGCACACACAGCTGCACACTCACATGCACAGAGGACTCTGCCACCTGCACACTTCCTCCAGGAGGGAGAATGGCCACTGCCCACCCGCAGTGGACCCCACCCACCTCTGCATGCTTTTAGTGCAGGGAGGGTTAGGTGAGCCCTGTTCTGTGCCTCGACTCAGAGTCTTAGGATGAGGACACAGCATCCCATGGTGCTGTCTCTAATACCAACCTGGCTCTAGAAAGGCTCAGCAGAGATAATTCTGAAATCTGGACATAGAACAAAAAGGAGACCGAATGCACCCAGACTTCTTGGTGGCAGCTTATTCTGAAGCCCTTGGGGAAGCCCCGAACTGGAGGCAGGGCTGATTGATTCTAGAGACCAGACACTGGCCAAGGACAGATCTGAACTGGGCCAGGCCAGCACTGACGTCGTGGCTGTGTACAGAGTTACACGACAGCCTGAGAACAGAGCCAGTCTCATCCATCTGTCCATCTGTTGGGCATCTCTCTCCCTCCGTCCCCACCCACCCCTCATCCATTCCCATCCATCCATCCAACAGCATAGAGAATTAACCCTGTGTCAGACATTGGGGTGGCCCTCTAGTAGCTTTTAGGGTTCAGTACAGTCTGGTAGCAGCGATAGATCACCATGAAAACACATCATTATTATCCAAAGACAAGAACAGAAACAAAAGAGATGATTAAAATATACTATGTGTTTACATTTTTTAAAACCACAGTAAAATTAATCCCCTTCAAAATCCTCTGCATCATTTCTAACACTTCTAACCCCATTGGTCTTGTCACTTTCTGAAGCAGTTCCAGAAGTCCTCTTTCCTGAGTGTCTTTATGAGGTGTGAGTAAAACAACAGGTAAACACGGCCGCCCAGTGCCATCCAGTGGGAAGGCAGGAGTGTGAAAACACAATGCTGTGTCCTTGTCCACCTTTTTCACTGACTGCCACCGTGGGACTTCTGGCTCTTCCCCAGAGTCAACATGACTGTGACAGGGAAATGTTGTGAGTCCATTCAGGACATCAAGGCAGCCAGGACAGTATAATTGAAGACCCTCAGGAAAGAGAACTCCAGAGCTGCTGCAGAAGGTGACAAGGACCATGGGATGAGTGAGTTGGATGTGAGGGAGAGACGTTTGAGAGATATTTCATGGCAAGATGATGTTTGCTGTAATACAACTTTGAAATGTAAGTCTTCACGATGTCTTTGGGTCACACTTCATAATAAAGAGAGGAGGAGCCAAGTCAGTCTGGCAGATCAAAAAGGACTTTCGGGAGGAGGTGAGAGGTCATTGAGGATGTCCCTTTTGGGGGGCACAAAGGGGTGCTTCCAGACAGAGGGAAGAGAAAGTATAGGGTAGAGCACCAGGAGAGGCAGAGGGGCAGGGGTAGAGGTGGGCTGGGCAGGGACAAGTATTGCTCCTGCAACCAGGAAGGAAGAGGGAGTGGCAGCAAGCGTCTAACTCTGAAGGGCTCTCCAGTCTGTGGGGACTGTCGGAAAGGGATGGCGACGCCCTGGCCTGTTCCAGGAACTGCTGCCACCACTCTGCAAAGGGCCGCAGGAACAGCTAGCAAGATAAAAATGTCCAAGCCCACTGGGCCGGTACTATGCTCTGGACATTTATTCTGAAAAAATAAAACTGCTATTGAGTAAGGAAAGAGGCAGAAGGATGCTGACGGCAACGCTGCTGTGTTCACAGTGGCAGCAAATGTGAAAACAATCGGCCTGCCAGAGGGAGAAGCGTTGAGTGTGGTCACTCAGGCCATGGGACAGCTACAGCTGTCCAGATGAGTTAAGATCCTTCCACACACCAGGGTAGGTCTGTGACACATTCTTAGATGAAAAGAGAGAAATACCCTGGATAGGAATGAGGATGGTGGTTCCAACTTTGTGTGTGTGTATGTGTGTGTGTGTGTAAGCTTTGTTTTAGGAACATAAAATTACCGAAACTTATTCATGAGCTTGATAAAAGGATTAGTCCCAAGCAATGAACTTGGAGGAGGAAGATTCTTAATTTTCTTTTAATAGAAATCTGTGGCATCACTTATATTTATGATTTTATTTATTTTATTTATTTTGTGTGTGTGTGTGTGTGTGTGTGTGTGTGTGGAACCAGGGATCGAACTCTGGACTTTGCACTTGTGAGGCAGGTGGCAGAACCACTGAGCTAAATCCCCAGCCCTACATTTATGATTTTAAAAGGAAAATGCTATAAAGAAATTAATGGACTGAATCCCCTTAAAAATGAGAGCCATATTAGCCCTGTCCTCCTCTAAGTTGTGAGTGCTGGGTACAGTGTGTCAGCTGACCCACAGCCCAGGCTCTGCCTCCTGAATGAGTCTTGCATCCATGCCGTGAAAGCGCTGCTCAAGCACAGATGACTGTCGCCAGCAGTGGGAGGGGTGCTCTTGTGGTATAGGACCCAGGAGTGCCACAGGTCAGCGCAGGAGTGTGAGGCGTTTGGTCACCTCAGGACTTTATAAACCCGTGTCCTCCCTGTTGCCAGGCCTCTGACACTGCGTACCTGGGGGCTGTCAGGCCGTGCAGAGGCTCTGGCCCTGCTGCTTGCCTTCTCCTTCCTCCCCTGGAGAAGAAGGGTCTGAAGGTCTCACGCCATCTTGCTCTGTGCCTCAGTCTCCCTAGTCTGGGGCTGCTCTAGAACTCTGTGTGGAAAGCACTCTGTACAGCTTTTGGGCGAGAAGTGGGCACAATTCCTGGGCTCTGGGCCAGGGGATTTGTGTGGGGTCAAGAGCACAGCCCCACAGCCAAATGCCACGGGATCATACCCGCTCCCTCTTGCCCTTGCAGAAAGACAGGATACCAGTTGGCCAGCCATGGGCAGGGTGCCCAGAGCCACACTTCCCTGCCCTGTGGCTCTCTGCCTCTGTGACCCCTGAATGGCGGAGGCCCTAGGTCTGTCCCTATCCCGTCCTGGGCCCCTGGTCACGGTGACTCTCCAAGACGGTGCCACGGGGCCCTGTGCTGGCCCAGGCTATCTCTGCTGCTGCTGTCCACTCGGCCAGGCCAGAGAGCAGGTGGGAAGCTGGGGACAAGCACGTGTTGCCCCTGAAACAGAGGGCGTCCTCAGAGCTCGACCTTCTCCACAGGGTGCCGGGCAGGTGTCCAGGACGCCAGTGTGCTGGCCGGTGGAGGGGATGGTGCCACAGGCCACACAGCACAGGGCACACAGTACACTCCCAGGCAGTCTTGGCCTCTCCGTCCTGCTTGGCAAGAGGACATCCAGGCTATCCAGGCCCCCCTGCAGGACACTGCCCTTCCTGGGCCCCGTGAGAAGGGCGCAGGGCACCATTAGGCCCATTCCCAAGGGTAACTGCCAGCAGCAGGAGAGCAGCATGGCTATGACCTGAGACGCTGTCCCCCACAGACCCCAGAGGGCGCGGAAGTCACAGAGCCCCACAGGGCTACAGGAAGGTCTGGGCAGCACCCAGGTGTCGGTCTGCTTGGCAAAGGTCACTGTCCACACACTCAGAACAGAGCAGAGATGGCACTGAATTGTGGGACACAAGCAGGACTGTGACCCCTGAGCACCTCAGGAACAAGTCAGCAAAGGTGGGTCTTCACCTGGGCGTGGTGGCTCATGCCTGTAATCCCAGCACTCTGGGAGGCTGAGGCAGAAGAGTTTGAGGTTCGAGCCCAACCTGGGCAATTTAGCCACTTAGTGAGGCCCTGTCTCCAAATAAAAAGTGAAAAAAAAAAAGTGCTGGGGATGTTGCTCAGTGCAAAGGCCCTGATTCTAGTCCTTCACCTCAAAGAAGAGAAGCAAAGCCAGGGCCATTCCAGGGGTGAAACAAATTTAGCCCAAATCTGAAGCTTCAAAAACAAAAAATCTCCCTGGAGGTAAGAGTTCCACCTAAGTCATTTCTATGTCTCCCCAATCTCCAAGATGAATCTCCCCCAATTATATCAGCCAGTGTAAACTGGGTCCCGATTAAAGGGCCCCTTGGGGGCCTGGAGCATTTAAACTTTCTAGTTTGTTCTCCCAAAGTGTCTGAGCCCATCTGAGGACAAACATTCCTGGAAGCAACAGGATCGTTCTATTAGTTACGGGCAGAGAAAGTTGAAGGCCAAGTTGGTCTCAAATTCAGTGGCAAAATTCCACAATTAGATGTCTTTCGACCAAAATTCTGGATTAGAGGCACTGTGGGCAGTGACCCTAGGTCCTGGCTCCACCCACGCTGCCCCATCTGGAAGCCAGGGAGACAGCCCGCACCCCCCATGCCCACGCTGTCCCCTGTGTATGTCCACAGACCCTTCCCGGCTCCCAGCCCGGCCCCTCACTGCAGCCTGAGGGAAGGCTCAGGGTCCCACTGACCTTGAGCTGCAGGCGACACGGCGTCCTGCTGGTCACTCGAGCAGCCGAGAAGTGTAAGGAGAGCTGCCCGGGCTGGAGGAGGCTGGGTGCTGGGCGGGGCCCGAGACACATCTGG